TTCTGTGACGATCTGGTAAAATCTTGTCAACTTAATAATTACTTATTGGGATTTTAGAGGCAAACGAATAACCATATACGATTCCGACAGTGATGCTGACCTAACCAGTTTTACTAAATACATTCGTACCCGAGAGTATTTGGTCAAGCACTCTCGCCAGATCATATCTGGTTACCCGCGTGGCGGTAAATAAATACCCAAAATAAATATCTCTGTAAGTTTTCGAAACTTGATGCTGACCATATTAGTTTTAATGGACTCACCTAGTTGAAGGTGCTCGGTCATGCATCCGCACCAGATCACGAGTCGGAACGCCATGCCCAACAACCCCTGCAATCGCTGGTCAGACTAGATCATACGGTCCTCGATATTTTGATAGCCTACCAAATATATCTTCGAACCTCCTCACATCTCTCGTTTGATTTCGCTTCATATTAAGTGTTACTTGTTAAAGCGTTGTCAAACTCAGAATACCTGTGACATCTTCACCAGAATAGTTAGGTTATATTATATGTACTACGTTACATCAGCCTACCGTCCAAATAGACATTAAATTTGAATCACGCCATAAGAAGAGGCTACGAAGAGCAGAGCTGTCAAAGGCAATGTAGCCCTGACTTCTTTAAGATGGATATTGGGTGGAACATAAACGAAATGTATCTCTGCACATTCAACATGTTTTTATCAAAATGAATCAAAAAACCTTAACATTGTGTTCCATTTTACATGATTTTTAAAGTTCATAAATTTTGTATTTTCTCATTAACAGTCCAGTCACTTATTACCTGGAAATATTTTAATTGTTCCAAGCTGTAAGTTTACTACAAGTGACTTTATATATACTTGACCTATGTCAAGTGTAAGGACCCAAGCGTCTTGGATTTTATATGTGAGTCGGCTGATGTACTGAGAGAAGCAGCTCTTAAATATGTTCTGCCATTCGGCTTTTACATCCTTAAAAGGTGACTGTCGACACTGTGGAAATAGGTTATATATTTCCCGTGTATAAAGTCTATAAGACTGATAGATAAGTAGTCTAAATACTGGACATTTCGATGGCATCATCACTATAACTAAATGTTTTTGAAGTGAACATGTTAGATACGTCCACTGTTCTCCAGTCTAACATCTAAAGCCTTGATCGTACGCAATTTCCTGCAATTTTCAGACACTAGCTTTCCTATTAGTTCACTAAGATTGAGAGAATAAGTGTTTGTGCAGTAATAGTTTAAAGTGATGAGTCTTAATTAGGTGCAAAGGGTAATTAAATGTCAAAATGCATGAGCCATATATACTTAGTGAAAATGAAACGAATATGAAAAGGTTAACTTAGTGAAGTGTTCCGCAAGATATTGCCTTAGTTACAAACTTTAGTGTAGTATTTTTAAGGAGGAAAAACGTGAGGATGAAAAGAAGTGAACAATTCTTGAAAGGGTTTAACTATAATATTAAAAGTGTAATGAATATCTACCTCTGAGGTAAAACATTGATTTCTTTAATTTTTTAGTGCACTCAGGTGTATACGTGTAAATTTATGTCATAGGACTCAGAGTAAATCTTTATATTAGTATAAAGTTTTGTGCAATAATGATTTAGAATGATGCTATGAAAGTCATAATTAATTGCAAAGTCCAATCAAATATAAATTTCTACGTGTTATTTATTCACTAAGGTCTGAACTCCACTAGCCACGGGTATTGTCTGTTTTGCCTATCGTCCTTCTCTTTAGCCCTCTGTGGAATTATGGGCTATTTCGGTATTATTTTACTGATCTTCACTGCTTTAATGACAATCCTAATTGGAAAATCGTAGATTTATCATGATGTGACTGCTCAATCTACAAAATTTTATGCGGAGGTCACATAGTAGTCTGTACTGACTTGCCCTACATGATGGCCAGTAATATGAAGTCTAGAACTTCTGAAGAACACGTTCGCACTGGGACGAAAGTAATACATTCGGTACAAAAGCAGGAGATTACATAGAGTAACCACGCCTGCATGGCCAAGCCATGCTAAACCGATCAACTATCTCTGCGTTTAGAGTTACTGACCTTCTATCGGTGTTAACTTTTGAGTGTGAATATTATGCTGTTTTTTGCTCATCTTTGAGTATCGAGTGATTATAGTCAATAACACCATCTCTGTTTCGTATATGCCAGTTAACTTTGTTATACAGAAATCTGATCATGGAGCGCAAAATAACCGGTTAAATTTGACGTTTTAACTGACCGATTAAACGTTTTCCGCCTCACGTTCTGTTATACGCAGCTCTGAGTTTTACTTGCATTTATTTTTTTAATCTCCTGTTGCTTGTCGCAACATATGACCAGTGCATATTGTAACATATCACCTAAGTACAATACTTAATTGCGGTAAATTCTGTGAAATTACCAACAACTTGATCTTGTCTGTAAATTGACATACCTCGTGTAACTTATTGTTATCTAAGAATCAATTATGATTATTTTCACTATATTTAGAAACTTAAAATTCAATTGGACTCGGGAGGCTAGCGTCAGTGCAAATAACATCCAGCTTGTAGTCACTCAAACTCTCGTGGTTGTGGAATACTGAACTACAAAAGTAGCTAAATGATGAGGTCAGTATTGTATTGTAATCTGACGTCCTTATGACACGTACCCATCCATCACAAAAAAATAGCAAAAACAGAACATGTGGAAAAGAATTTCTAATATGATCCTTAAAACACAGTATATTTTGTCGTATTCTTCTGATTAGTCTGCCTATACGGTGTATAATTACTCATTCAACCTGTTTTTCTGAGATTAACAAACTGATAATATGAATCAAATACAGCTCTTATAGAAACTGTGTCGCGGCACTCGCTCCTGACCGAATTCTACTCTAGATGGGTGGCAGAAAAATGGAAAGTTTACCGATCCTAATCAAATCCCATAGTAACCGACGTTTATCAGTCAATTTCTTGACACGAACAGGCACGTGTGCCATTGGTCTCCTTCCGTTTCATGTACATAGTCTAACTAATACATTTCTGGAACGTCGTTGTGTTTACGTCAGATAGCTTAAATGGTTAGGCTTTTCATTGTATTTTCTAGCTATTCAATTATTCGTTATTAAAGATAAAATACTGAATTGAGCAAAATCAATGTGTATTCCAAAGTTCGTGTGCTCTTGTGGATCAGGTCACAGATCCAACTCTATTCAAAGCCATTTCCCATTTCTCGAATCCTACACCTTCAACTATTACAGTAATAATATTCAACAGAATGTCCAGCGCAACTGTCAGTATTTGTACGAATGACGTTATTTCAATGTGACATTATGACACATCCGAACTCTGACTACAAATTGATCAGTAACCTCGTGAGACAAGATCACGACTCCTTTTTGCGGTCATACGTGTGTACTTTCTATTAATCTGCTAAGTGTAGACATAGGTAGGATTCGACACTTATGAACAGTAGACGATGAAACAGACTGAAATTCCACATCAATCGCGGTACAAACATTAGCATCAATTGATAACACGCTTATCGTACTACTACTGTTGTACTAATATCGCTTCGGCCAACCGAACGTTGCTCACCTGGGGAACTTGATTGTATGTCAGCGCAGTGCATTCCGACAATACTTCATGGAAGCTTAAAATGTTATAGTTCCTTTAATCACCGCCATTGTTAATTACTTGATATTCAACCAACCTGTAGGCCATACGTCTGAGCACATCGGCATATCTGGCAATCAAATATTTATTATTAGTCGACATTTTGCGATTAGCTGTAGCCTCCTCCTTACCATTTGTCATTTAGCCCCTCAGTAGTCGGAAGATCCTCAGTCATTGTTTGGCAACCTCCGTCGCGCAATTACACTTAGCATGTTGGTATCGATTAAAACGGTCGTCAAATCTAGCGGGAGGAGCATTGTAGGGTCAGTGAAGTGTCCCTGGGCCCCAGCCAAATCATCCGGCAGTCGAGTTCACTAATTTTTGTCAAGTTCAAGGAAAACGAATGCACACCAATTAATCGTGCGCCATGGACTGGGACATAACGTAGTGGTCGCGATCACTCCCTTGTATCCCATTCTGCTAATTTATTTCTGTAATAATGTTCTTTGTGTTATACGGTCTCTAGAGTATCCATGATACTTTGATGAGATGAAAGGGCAATCCATGTTAGGTGCTGAATGCGAGGTGCGACTTCGAAGTTAGCTGTTGTTCTCACCATTTCCAAACTACTTGAGTAGACCCTCAATCATCCGAAACAGATCATTAACGTTGGTAATCTACATAAATTCCAGAACTTATCTATCCGCGAAGATTTCAAAGCAAGCTTAAAGTACAGTTTGCCATGTTATACCTCAAATACATGGTTATCGTCCCTAGAACGTGTGTTGAAAATGAGATCGAATGGGTGTTCAAGATTATGTATAGACGTCTTTAGGGCTTTTTGGTACAGCTAGAGATCTTCCATGAGTCTCTGATACTATACATTATAAAGATCCATTTATTTAAAGCTCTTACTTCAATGCTTGGATATGATCACTATGATTGATTTTCTGGTTCACCTTTGGATACGCTCCACAATATTCTCATCATTTTGAAGCAAAAAAGGAAAACCATATATCCATACTCCAAAGAAAGCCTGATAACGCTATTAGGAACGAGGCTGAATATTCTACTCTTATACTGGCTAGAAATGAGTTTCAACGTAACATGTGCAGTGTTTGCTCGAATGGCACTTTTAGTCAGGTCTAGTGTAAGACTTCGGACCACAAGTTATCAAAACTTTCAGATCATTTCTGGCTTTTTATATCTCTGGAGTAGTTTGTATATGCCTAAAATAGATTACGTTAAAGTTTGTATTACTGAAAAAAGATACTTTATCATCCGCTAAAATAAAGGATGAAATATGATCACATAATCACAGAGACGTTACACTGAGAGGATCATATACTACTTCAGTCATCTGAATGCTAATTTTGGTGACTCTTGTTTGGTCGTACCAATATATTCCGTAACTACAAATCACAAGTGGTGATATTTCAAATGACCTCCGATAGGTTAGAAATTTATTCATTCTGACACAGGTTTTAGTAATAAAGCTTCACATGATTCTTCAAGTGAACACATCAATAACAACAAAAGCGAAAATGCCAATTGCATACAGCTTATGGATCGAAAACAAGAGGTCACAGAAAGCTTGCAAAACAATAACATAGATCCTTGCATTCTCCCACAGCTCACAAGATCTGACATAAACTGGTAAGAAAATTTCGTGTGAGTGAACAATTGGAACAATCAATTTTGCAGCGTGAAATTAATTAAGGACGATAATCTGTGTGTTATGCTGTTTTAAAACTACTTTTATTGACTTATACTTCGAAAATGTATCATAATTCTCGGTAAAATATAGTTATCTGTTCAAAATATAGTCATTCTACTCCTCTATCCGAGACATTTTAGGGACGTTAATGGGTAATTTATCTGCGCGTGAACCATATCCTACACAACTTTATTAGAATATTCTGTCAGATGATTGGCTCCAGATAGAAGAAATGGTAGGACTCTAATTTATGGATGAGCCAATCAGAAGCGTCTAAGAAGTTTCAAGGTCACGACGCTACAGTAATAGCAAGATCGCTGCTGAGTACATAATAAACTGGTTTCAAATTATCTCTTGAACTATGCTAAAATATGGCCATTTAGTTAAAGTGTTTCAGTCTGTTTTCATACAAAAGTGAGAAAAACCTTACAACAGTTTGTCTCTTTCCAGTCGAACCATTCTAGTATACCTCCTTTTGGTTTGGAACGAGACCCTAGTACGTAAATCCCATATTTTAAATGTAGTCTCAAATGCGTCAAGTATTATGTTTTGTATATATCATCGCCCATGTCCAGAAATACTTGCTAAACTATGGATAAGATCCGTAAGTTTTTGGAGGCGCTCATCTCACAGTTAAAGGTCAGTCAAACGTTATTGCCTACTGCGACTCTTAAGTTCTTATAACTAATAACGTCGAGTATAGACATCCCTTCAATTGTGAATCATATAAAAAAAGATAGACCAGATGACGTTTCCATTTTGTGTTAATTATTTACATGAGTTAAGGAGAGTCTAACATTTCCCGTTAGAAACTCAACTAAACGCAGATTTGTAAGAACCTAGAGTATTTTTTGCCTTCACATATTGCTTCCTCTCACTGAGACAATCAGTAATACAACCTTGAAATTATTAAAATCTCATTAAGAACTGTGTATTTGTCTTATTTTAATCTGAAACTCCCTGATATTGGATACTTTTTAATAGCTCATGTGTCAGTGTTAAATTATCAGTATAGATGTTAGTGAAGATTGTTGAAAGTTATTGAAATCACCAGCCAACCTAGGTTGGAAGATCATTGAAAACAAGGAAGCACTAAACAACCGTTTCACCTCCTTAAAATAACAATCATAAAATGCTCACTATTGACCAGTTTCGCGAGAGTCGTCTTGGAGCTATGATGTGAAGCCGCAACCAGTGGAGTTTAGAGGTATTGTGTTTGAGATAGTTATCGTACAACATCACTTAAAGATGGCTGAGCGATATTATAAATTGGGAAGTTCGTTCCTAGGATGAAAGCGCTGTTCAGTGCCTTATAGTTTCACATGGTTCTCGAACTTAGGTTTGTTTGTGATCTCAATGAAAATTTTGTTTAGATTAATATATTTCTTTGTAAAGTTGATATCAATCAATCGATAAGTCTATTGAAGTTAATGTCCATTTTAGTTGTTTCAACGTCAATAATTTTAATTTGTTTTGCAAATAATTCTACATTCATGTTTATTTTACCTTTTCGGTTAGCGTTTTTTTTAGCGAGTTATTTTTCTACGAAATGGGGTCGCTAACCCCATGCCCAATCCTCCTCCTATATCCAGGCTTAGGAACGGCAGTAGCCCAAGAGGTGCTCCAGGCAGAGTTATGTTTGTTTTGATTTCACCCGAAATTCAGTCCTTGTTTTAGATTACTAACTTGTATATGCAACTGTAAAATCTAATAAAAACTTATTCTTCACTTATAAATTTGTATATTGATTTTTCATTCAAGGTATCGTTTAAAATTTCATGAAAATCTATTACTTAATATTCTACAAAATGGTTATCATAAAACATATTCAGAACTATTCAATTTAATTGATTATGAAGAGAAACGACGTATTAATGCAGGAATTTCATCACCATATTGGACTATTCAACCATTGACTGAACGACATCAATTACTTTGTGAAATGATGACACATTTAATGAATGCAGAGAATTTTAATCATTCTAATCAAATTGAAGAAGTTTATAAAGAGAATTTATACTTGGCAGGATTATTTCAATCAAATATCAATGATCATTGGTTATTAGATATTTATTTACAAAAATGTTTAAAAATTGTAAATAAAGGTTATCTTGCTATAAAGAATATGATAACAACTAAATTACAAATGAATAATATTGATAAAATACGATTGGATAACTTAACTGAAATAAAACAAACACTTAAAAAGCGGTTATTTGAAGCAATCTATCATAATGCTACATATTTATTTGAAACAGGTAAAGTATATATATTTATTTATTGATAGATTAATAACCTGAAAGCACTAAACGACCGTTTCATCCTAGTGTAGGATCCCGCACACGGGATTCGAACTCAGGACCTCCGATGTTGCGCGTGAATGCTCAACCCCTGGATCACTGAGCTGGCATCCAATGATGTTAATGTCTAACTTCTTGAAGTTCTAGTGAGCAAATGTGACCAATGGAGTCAAACTGTGTCTGTTGTCAGTCAGTTACTTACTGAAGACAATAGTGGACGGTCGCGCAATATCGTGGATTGGTTGAAGTTAGGCATTAACACCGTTGGATGCCGGTTCACTGGTCTAGAAACTAAGCGTTCGTGTTCGAGACCGAAGGTCCTAGGCAAGAATTTTACGTGAAGGATTGTAGATGCTTACTGCTGAGTAGTCCCATACTAGAACGAATTAGCCATCCTAGACTTTCAGGGCGGTTTAGCTTAAATCGACTAATGAATTCAGCTATTAAATTACTACAATTTCCAAAATCTCTCATTCTGAATATGAAAAGTTGAATAGATAAATAATCAATCAGTAAATAGATAAAATTATAAACTTCAACCTTCATATCTGTTATTTACTTTAAGATTGTCTAATATAGTAATCTAAATGCAAACAGTGAATAATTAGGAATTTACTGTTGTAAACGTTTAACACAAAATGAAGAAACTTAAATTGGTATTTTTAGATTAAAATATTAGACATTCGACTATTTAGCACTTTTTCTTACATCATCTTTAAATATTTTAACGTTATGTTCGATAGTCAATGTGGATACTAATGCTAGTAACAAACGAACTTTACTAAAATTCATTACTAAGGTATTATGCTAGAGCTCATTAGTCTACAGAAATTGATCAATTGTAGTTTTTAGAATCCATAAAAAGAAAATGCAAATGTTTACCAATAGTTTCATAACTGTTGAACAGATTAATAGCTATTTAGATTCGGTAGAAGAAGGTATTGAGTTTGTCTTCATGTGAAGATCAACATTGGAATGTTGGAGAATCTAGCTGACTTAGATGGGATAAAACGCGTATTTTGAATTGTCGATGGATGGTTCTATGATTAAGACATTTAATTTCCAGCCACTAAGCTTCAGGTCAGAACCCTGCTAAGTCTTATTCGGTTTGGGATATCGTGTAGTATTACTAGTCATCACACATAGAGTGAATCTCGACCCAAGTATACGAGCCTTCAAATGCCCTGGTACGGCCGAGAGTAGAAAGAGTCAGCTCTCCTTCTCCAAATGCTCTCACATGCATACAACCACTGCCAGGGAAGTCCTACTCACTGCCTACTCTCGGTATTACTGTTGTTTACGAAATTGAGAGGACGAAAAGAGAATGTCCGGTGATGTAACCGGATTGGTGGATACGGAGAGCTCACCTAGGAGAGTTGGAAAACCCTGATTCCAAACTAATGGTGCACATTGGCTCCAGTATCCTGAAGGAACAAATGGTGTATGAACCAATCATTGGTCACCGACTACCATGGGACTGCATCTTCTGACGTTGCTACACTGCCTTGTGTATTAGATCTTCAGGTAGAAGGCTCCATGTGTGGCCCCCTGAGAAAACCACCTGCTTCGGTTTGGGCACCATGGCAGTATCACGGCCCTCACACATATCAAATGAGATCTGTGTAACAGATATATATTCGGTGCCTCCTTGTATCAATATCTATGTGTTAAAATAAATAATATATAAATAAATACTTCTGCCTGGCAAATGAGTTAGTAAATAAAAATGTACATAGACCGAACTGATTTTGAAAGACCAGTTTAATGAATTCTACTGATAGCTACAAATCACACTTTCTAAGAAAACTCAACCTAATACCTATATTGTGGTCAATAAAGGCTAGTTATTTGTAGTCCTTAACGTCAACGATGAGAATGTACAAACCCTCACAAATTTATGCAAAATAGTATTATTACGTTTTGCTTCATTTGTTCTATTAAGAATGTCAAGTTTTCCTACAATTCATCACCTTCCCATGTTAGTAGTGATGAATTATATGCTGGTTGCCGTTAATTATGTAAGAAACGGAACTAGCAGTAATAAAATAGGTAAATCTTTCCTTATTCAGTCAGTATTGTGCATCCGTTATATATTCTATATATTAAAACATAACATATATAATGACTTAATTTACAACAATACATTATGAATAATAATATGTAAGTTAAACACTAACTCTCAAAAGATTAAACTTCGTCTTCACTACTGAGTATATATGATAAAAACAGTTACAGTATTGCTGTGTTCAATTACTAAATAATAATAAACTTATATTCAACCAATGTCAAAGTCAGAATCTTTAATACGAACGTTAAAACGGTCCTACTGTACGGAGCTGAAACGTAGAGAACAATTACAACCATCATCAAAACAGTACAAGTATGTATAAACAACTGTCTACGAAAGATACTCAATATCTGTTGGGCGGATAGCATCAGCAACAACATACTATGTGAAAGGACAAACCAGCTTCTAGATGAAGAGGAAATCAGAAAGACACTAGGAGTGGATCGGACATAATTTATGCAAATCATCAAACTGCATCACAAGGTAAGCCCTAACTTGGAATCCCGAAGGGAAACGGGAAAGAGGAACGCCGAAGAACATACTACATCGAAAAATCGAAACAGATATGAAAAGAATGAATAAAAACTGGAAAGAATTGCCCAATATAGGATCGAACAGCGAATGCTAGTGTGTGGCATATGCTTCTTCACGAAAGATAACAGCTGTAAGTAAGTAATAAACTCCCAGATGTTCAATAAATACCCCTTAAAATTTACAATTCCACACATTAGAACAAATTTGATCTTTTAATAAACCTTACAAACTTGTTATTACACCCTAAACTTTGTTTCTTTTTTTGCTTTTTTCTTCTTAAAAAAAAACACAAACAAACAAAATTCTCCTTCTCCTCACTTACCCTTCAGGAAAATACCCCCAATCATTAGAACTGTATAAACAATTACAAAATAAATTAGAAAAACATAAACATATTTTGCAACCATCTATAAATCCATTTGAAAAACAACAAATTAATATACCATTGTATATTGTATGTTATGAACAAATCTGTCGAATCATTTTAACAATTTATCAACCAAATAAAGAAGATCAAATGAACGAATTATTGTTAAATTTAAATGAAGCATTGAAATATGCTGAAAAATGTAAGTTTTATTATACTTTAATTAACGAATGTATGGGCGTAGTCGAGATATACGTCTATCAACCAAAGGACGGGTTTACTGTGTAGCAGTTCATTCCGTCCTACTTTATGGCAGTGAAACCTGGAGTGTAAGAGTAGAAGATATTCGTAGGTTACTTGTATTTGATCATAAGTATATTCGAAGCATTGCTCGCATATTCTGGGACCATCGAGTAAGTAATGTAGTTGTTAGGAAACACGTACTAGGTAAGGATGTCAAACGAATCGACGAAGTAGTCAAATTTCATCATTTGAGATGGCTAGGACACGTGTTACTTATGCCCTACCACCGACTGCCTCGACGTGTAATGTTAAGTGGTATAGGAGTAGATTGGAAGAAAGCTAGGGGCGGCCAGAGCAAAACATGGAATAAGTTCATGAAGTCATTGAAAAGTGGACTGAGCCATGTTGGTAAGTATAGACGATAGCAACCGACGGTTAGAGACCTAGAATGACAAAATCGTTTGCGATGGCGCAGGTGCATTCACTATTTGTGTTCTCTCAAATTCTAATCTTCTGAATTCTTCATGTTCCATTTTTTCTCTTTCCAAATTTATGTCACTGGATTATACTCCTTAATAACGTCTTCAAACCCTAATTTTTCAGATTACTGCTAATACTTTCAATACCTCTATTAATATGGGACTTGAATCGACAATTGTATCTTTGTGCTAATATGGTATAGTAACTCGAACTGATGTACGTACGTACGCAGTTCTACGTTGCTCCTGATTGACTGAATGCAAACTAATTGAACAAATGTTTTCAAAAAGAAATTAAACGGTATATTTCCTCATAGATTAGAGAGATTGATTCTTTTAAATAAGAAATCTTCAATAGTGCATTCGAAGGGGCTTATGTGGATATTATAGTAGTAACTTTTAATAGTTTAGAGCATGAGTCAATTGAAGTTAGACTGCCATGGAAAACCTGTGAAGCACTGGATGGCCATTTTGTTCTATTGTGGAACTTTCCAACAGTGCGCATCCACGATCCTGTTCGCGGGATTCTTACCCAGAGCCTTCAGTCTCGAGTGCGAATGCTTAACTTCTAGACTATTGAACCGGCATCCAACGGTGTTAGTATCTAACCTCAAGATATTCACAGTGCAAAATATGAATGAACGCATACTTACCTGTACGTTATTGATGAATAGATGTAGTGTTTGTTTTCAACCAAGAACACGTTTTTTTTAACTCTCTGGTGACTAGTTTTAAGATGCAACCTTCAGAGTTCTAGTGAGAAGCTGTTACCAGTGGGATATGAGTCAGTTATCAACATCAGGAAATGGGAGATTGATAAATAGCTACTTAAGCTGGTTGAAGTTAGACATGTGCACCATTAAATATCGACTCAATGGTTTAGAGGTTAGGGCGTTTCTGCACAAATCCCTAGTGGTATCACAGATTCATACTTTTAGGAGTCCCATACTAGGACAAAACAACTGCTCATTACTTTCTGGTTTTAAATAGTGGTCAAGACAACTCAATAATTTAAAATATGAAAACTATTTAAGCGAGAAAATGAAAAATACTAAAATTGAATAATATAGAATGGTATTTAGAGATATAGTGGAGTTTGCTGAATTGGATGCTGTATCGTCCTACAAGTGCATTTCGTGCTACTTTGGACAGCATAAGAGCTACTCCCTGAGTGTGTGGAGCATTGTCCTCTTCGTGACCGGAGTATAGCAGCATCTCTGCCGTAGCTAGCCTTTGCTGTCCAGCTTGGGTCCAATAGGTTTCGCTGATTCCCAGTACTGCCAAGTTGTATCTCCTCATTTCCGTTGCTATTTGACTGGTCTTCTCAGTCTCCCACATTGTTCGGACGTTCCATGTACCTATAAAAATTGTTGCTCTGGTTGTCAGAAGGGGCATCGGCCTCGTGGTTTCCGAAGGAATTCGGATTTCATCATGAGACGTCAAAGTTCTTCTAAATGAAGACCTTATAACTCCCAGGGCAGAGTTTAAATGGTTTGAATTTTTTTTCTGGTTAGTGTTTTTTAGCGAGTTAGTTTTCTAAGGGATGGGGTCGCTAACCCCATCCCCAACCCTCCTCCTTTACTTGGGCTTGGGACCGGCAGTAACTCTAAAAGAGTTACGGGCGGAGTTTCACGATAAAGTAACTCACTAAAAATAATAGCGGATGTGTCTCTCAATTTCGTGGACTGGTTGAAGTTAGAATTTAACACCGTTGGATGCTAACTCAGTGGTCTGGATGAGATGTCATACAACAGAACGAAACGGCCGTCCAATCCTTTCAGGTTTTCCATAATGGTCTAGCTTCAATTGACCCATAACCTCAACTACAAAATGTATAATTACAAATCTACATAAAATTACAACAATTGACATGTTCCATTCATTTTTTTTCTACTTTTAGCGGAAAATCAAAAACTTATAGGATTATGTAATAAACAAATTAGTCAAGTATATCAGGTCCATGAAGATTATGAAATGGCTCATAAAGTATGAATTTAAAATTAAAATATGATCATTTCTCTTATGATTAACAAGTTTTAATTTGTTTATATCAATCATGATTCCTAAAGTAACTTGGTACTAAACTTATTTTGTTCATTTCAATTTCGATAAGTAAATGTATTCTTATCAATCTAGACACTATAATCATTGTGTTTTAGGTGGCTGGAGTTAGTTACCCGGACACTATATCGAGAGATCTATTGTAGTAGGTACCTAAAATAACTAAGGAACCGATATTCCTTAAGGGATTCGAAATCAAATCACCCAACTTAACAGTTAGAGATATAACCACTGAATTGTTTAGAAGATAATTGATCTCCTGAAAGACTAAAATATTTATAATTAATTGATCACTGAGTAATGATCAATTTTATTTTTGTCGAGTCTCTTCAGTGCTGTGATCATTAATCAATGTAACTCCACATGATATGCACTATCATGAGATTTTATACAATGGAAATCATTAGTCGTTGTTACACCACACATAAAGACGAAAACAAATTACACAATAGTATGATACATATATTTTATTCCAAGTGAGTTGATGACTTGTTGGAATCTATGTATAATCATATCACTTCAATTTCCTGTACATTATTAGTTATAATAGTATCTAACTGAATGTTCAAAGTCTTCACAATTGATTGATCACTAGGTAGTGATCAATGTTTTCTTTATGTCCGGTCTTTTTTAGAGCAGACTGTTGAAACAATTGGGTCGAGATTTAGATAAAACTTTTGGTCATTTAAAAAATTACTGAGAGTCTTGAATACAACGTAACATGAAGGGGAAAGTTTATCAATTTACCTTTCGAGTGATAGTTTTTATATGAGTGTTTTATATATACTGATATGGATTAGAATAGGTTGCAGTAGAATCGATGAATTTACTCTTGTCTTCACGGGGAACTTGAGTTTTAAAAATTAATTTATACCTTTTAGTTTTACAAGATTGGTTAAAACCTGAGTAACTCGGTGATAACGTCTATGACTGTCACGCTGAGTGCCATGACTAATGATCAAACACGGAAGAACTTAAGTTCTTTCCAAATCCGAAGACACACGTTTCTAGCTTGTGCTAATAAACACAAAAGTTAGGTTCAGTTTTGTCTGCCGATTGTTTCCACTCGTAAAATATTTATGCGATCGTTTTTTATAATTATTATGGAATTCACATAGTTAATTCTTACATAATTCCTGGAACAATTCGTATAATGTTCTCAATATATTCGTTTCATTAACCTACATTGTATTATCATTTTATTTTAACACATAGATATTGATACAAGGAGGCACCAAATACATATGCGCCACACAAATCTCATTTGATATGTGTGAGGGCCCGGGTGCCCAGACCGAAGCAGGTGGTTTTCTTGGGGGGGCACACCTCGAGCCTTTGACCTGAAGGTCTAATCCACAAAGCAGTGGAGCATCGGAAGGAGATGCAGTCCCCTGGAAGCCGGTGACCAACGACTGGTTCATACGCCATTCATTCCCGCAGGATACTGGAGCCCATGTGCACCATTGGTTTGGAATCCGGTTAAAGTTCCGGACATTCGCTTTTCATCCTCTCAATTTCGTAAACAACACCCCCGCCACGATAAGGGAGTGAGTATGACTTCCCTGGCAGAGGCTATATACGCGTGACCATGTGAGAGCATTCTGACAGGGAGAGCGGACTCTCCCCACTCTCGGCCGTACTTTGTATTCACAACCAACTCTTGTTTACTTCTATTCATGAGGCTGACAAAGTGCTAAAAAGTAAACTAACAATTGCAATTGTTGTTGAATAATGTGACAGTACAAATACATTTTAGTCAAATCTCATTTGAATAGAATAAATGCTGATCTAAAACATTGTAAATGGAATAAGGATTGTCCGCATTTCATTCATTAACAAATCGACTTGCATAGTAATTATACTGCCTAATATATAATTATTTATATGGAGATTTGTGGAGATTGTATTTTTCGTGAATGAGCACTACTGAAGAGTCCCATACTAGGACAAAACAGTCGTTTAATGCTTCTAAGTTTCAATGACGGCCTAGATTAGATCAACTTGTGATTTCAACTGTGAACATAATTATTTATAATCATAGGGAGAAAAAGATAACTAAGTTTTTCGAAATTTTTATAGGTTGCAGAACAATATTTCGATATAGCTGAAAGATCCAATGATATTTTGGAGAAGATTGAAGCATGTAAACTACTGGGAAGTATAAATGAAAAGTAATTCAGCTTTTGTTTAATTTTAATCATTTATATGGTAACGATAAAGCAACTCTATTCTTGTACTTCAGACTGGGTTTCTTTAGGGCACTAATGAGAAACTGTAGCTTCAGGAAATTAATCATTTTGGAAATGAGACAATTATTAACTGATGGTATTAGACAATGTTTTAATTAGGTTCCAAACTGAGCGAAATTGACATTAATGTAAGATTAACATAAAACTTACCGTAAGATTATGGGTTCGAGTGGCTGTACAATGGTACATGTGCACTACTGATAATTGGCTGACTAGACTAAGAGAGTTGATGTGCACTCTGTGACCTGTAATAATTACATAGCAGAAATAAATCCATGATGAAAGTTATTAGCAAACTATACAAACTTATGATTTTAGATGGTTGGATGTACTCAACAGTAAGCCGTGGTTCGAGGTTTAGTGTTAACTAGCACTCACTGAAATTGTAACCCTACAATCTTGAGGGAAATTATGGTCTTTGGTAGATTCAAACCCGGGTTACCCAGCTTCTTTTTATGAGATGTTACCACTGAGAAATTCGAGCTACCAGTGACACCTCCTGCAGAGCTGAGACGTTTCCATTGACTGGTCAATAAGTAGTGTCATGTTCATTTAGTCCGGACAAACCTTTATAAATCACTTATTTAAGTGAACCACTAATTAAAGGATATTTTCAGCTTGTAAAACTATCGAATAATATGAGTTACCAAGCATCTCATTGATCATAATTCAAAATATCCGAATAGGTTACCGTAATATTTGCAAAAATATCAAAATTTTAGGCCTTTTGTTAGTACATTTGCATCGAATCGATAATTTAATATAATTTTCCCCCTATATCTGTGTTTGCCTGTCAGTGTGTGTCTAAATCTTGGTTAGATTTGAACCAAAAACATGAAGATCACCAATGTGATATATTGAATAGATAGATTCAACTACTAGAGAGTTAATCAGTCAACTACAACGTAGGACCAGGCACATATGTGCATCGGTCCAAGTTGCCATACCTCATTAGCACAACAAGGTGAACACCGAATTCATAGAAGTAGTTAATTCAATGGTGGTAATATATAAAAGAGAGATTGCATATAAGGATATAGTACAGGAAAAAAGAATTATTTCGTAGGAAAAAAGTTTATCAGTACGATTCACCATAAACCATTCTGTCCAAATGATATTATGATTCCATACGCCTTTTACATTTCGGAAATGAAAAGAAAAATGTATGAGGCTACGCCTGATGGATGATCGTATTACAGGCTACGAATATGTCTATAATCATAGTAGAATATGCAAGCATTTTGTTATGAAGCAGGAGTTATCAGTCATCGTCCCATAAATGTGATCTTTTAGCACCTGTATAAAGGCAAACAAATAGGCTATGACTAACTAAATGTAGTAAGTGTTTAAGTGCAATTCGACCGAAGGTTTTTCTGATTATATCTATCATTAGCATCCAAAATAGCCCAGTTCACGTAATTACTGAAAAAATGATGTATAGATTAGTATTCAATCATATCTAAAAGACCATTATATCCCCTCGTTCTAGCCCACACAGAATTGAATAACTTTCATTTCCTCAGGAAATTCTGAAACTAGATTTTGTGCTATTTTGCACTCGTCAGTAAAATGTACATGTATTATTGAAGGAACCAGTGATTCCTGATGTTATGTTAATTATTATCAGAATGGGTTTTGTGGAGATTTTAGAAATTTCACAGATTGAAATCATGAGTCAGTTGAAGCTAGACCACCATTGAAAACCTGGAAGCACTGGACGGCCGTTTCGTCCTAGTATGAGACTCCTCAGCAGTGCGCATCCACGACCCCGCACCAACCGGGGCTCGAACCCAGGACCTACTGGCTTCGCGCGCGAGCACTTAACCATTAGACCACTGAGCCGGCATCCAACGGTGTTAATGTCTAACTTCAACCAATCCACGAAGTTGCGCTACCGTACACCATTGTCCTCAGTGAGTTCCTATCTCACAACAGACCTGGTTGAACTCCACTAGTAACGACTTCTCACTAGAACTGCAGGAGTGTCTCCTGAATCAGTCACTAGTGAGCAGGTGATTATTATTATCAGAATGGGTTTTGTGGAGATTTTAGAAATTTCACAGATTGAAATCATGAGTCAGTTGAAGCTAGACCACCATTGAAAACCTGGAAGCACTGGACGGCCGTTTCGTCCTAGTATGAGACTCCTCAGCAGTGCGCATCCACGACCCCGCACCAACCGGGGCTCGAACCCAGGACCTACTGGCTTCGCGCGCGAGCACTTAACCATTAGACCACTGAGCCGGCATCCAACGGTGTTAATGTCTAACTTCAACCAATCCACGAAGTTGCGCTACCGTACACCATTGTCCTCAGTGAGTTCCTATCTCACAACAGACCTGGTTGAACTCCACTAGTAACGACTTCTCACTAGAACTCCAGAAGTGTCTCCTGAAATCAGTCACTAGTGAGCAGGTGATTATTATTATCAGAATGGGTTTTGTGGAGATTTTAGAAATTTCACAGATTGAAATCATGAGTCAGTTGAAGCTAGACCACCATTGAAAACCTGGAAGCACTGGACGGCCGTTTCGTCCTAGTATGAGACTCCTCAGCAGTGCGCATCCACGACCCCGCACCAACCGGGGCTCGAACCCAGGACCTACTGGCTTCGCGCGCGAGCACTTAACCATTAGACCACTGAGCCGGCATCCAACGGTGTTAATGCCTAACTTCAACCAATCCACGAAGTTGCGTCACCGTACACCATTGTCATCAGTGAGTTCCTATCTCACAACAGACCTGGTTCAACTCCACTCGTAACGACTTCTCACTAGAACTCCAGGAGTGTCTCCTGAGTTCAGTCACTAGTGAGCATGTTATTATTATTTTTATTATTATCAGAATGTGTTTTGTGGAGATTTTTAGAAATTTCACAAGTTGAAATGATGAGTGAATTGAAGCTACACCAACATGGAAAACCTGGAAGCACTGGACGGCCGTTGCGTCCTGGTATGGGACTCCTCAGCAGTGCGCATCCACGAACCCGCACCAAACGGGGCTCGAACCCAGGACCTACTGGCTTCGCGCGCGAGCACTTAACCATTAGACCACTGAGCCGGCATCCAACGGTGTTAATGCCTAACTTCAACCAATCCACGAAGTTGCGCCACCGTACACCATTGTCATCAGTGAGTTCCTATCTCACAACAGACCTGGTTCAACTCCACTCGTAACGACTTCTCACTAGAACTCCAGAAGTGTCTCCTGAAATCAGTCACTAGTGAGCAGGTGATTATTATTATCAGAATGGGTTTTGTGGAGATTTTAGAAATTTCACAGATTGAAATCATGAGTCAGTTGAAGCTAGACCACCATTGAAAACCTGGAAGCACTGGACGGCCGTTTCGTCCTAGTATGAGACTCCTCAGCAGTGCGCATCCACGACCCCGCACCAATCGGGGCTCGAACCCAGGACCTACTGGCTTCGCGCGCGAGCACTTAACCATTAGACCACTGAGCCGGCATCCAACGGTGTTAATGTCTAACTTCAACCAATCCACGAAGTTGCGCTACCGTACACCATTGTCCTCAGTGAGTTCCTATCTCACAACAGACCTGGTTCAACTCCACTCGTAACGACTTCTCACTAGAACTGCAGGAGTGTCTCCTGAATCAGTCACTAGTGAGCAGGTGATTATTATTATCAGAATGTGTTTTGTGGAGATTTTTAGAAATTTCACAGGTTGAAATCATGAGTCAGTTGAAGCTAGACCACAATTGAAAACCTGGAAGCACTGGACGGCCGTTTCGTCCTAGTATGGGACTCCTCAGCAGTGCGCATCCACGACCCCGCACCAACCGGGGCTCGAACCCAGCACCTACTGGTTTCGCGCGCGAGCACTCAACCATTAGACCACTGAGCCGGCATCCAACGGTGTTAATGCCTAACTTGAACCAATCCACGAAGTTGCGCCACCGTACACCATTGTCATCAGTGAGTTCCTATCTCACAACAGACCTGGTTCAACTCCACTCGTAACGACTTCTCACTAGAACTGCAGGAGTGTCTCCTGAATCAGTCACTAGTGAGCAGGTGATTATTACTATTAGAATGGGTTTTGTGGAGATTTTAGAAATTTCACAGATTGAAATCATGAGTCAGTTGAAGCTAGACCACCATTGAAAACCTGGAAGCACTGGACGGCCGTTTCGTCCTAGTATGAGACTCCTCAGCAGTGCGCATCCACGACCCCGCACCAACCGGGGCTCGAACCCAGGACCTACTGGCTTCGCGCGCGAGCACTTAACCATTAGACCACTGAGCCGGCATCCAACGGTGTTAATGTCTAACTTCAACCAATCCACGAAGTTGCGCTACCGTACACCATTGTCCTCAGTGAGTTCCTATCTCACAACAGACCTGGTTGAACTCCACTAGTAACGACTTCTCACTAGAACTCCAGAAGTGTCTCCTGAAATCAGTCACTAGTGAGCAGGTGATTATTATTATCAGAATGGGTTTTGTGGAGATTTTAGAAAATTTCACAGATTGAAATCATGAGTCAGTTGAAGCTAGACCACCATTGAAAACCTGGAAGCACTGGACGGCCGTTTCGTCCTAGTATGAGACTCCTCAGCAGTGCGCATCCACGACCCCGCACCAACCGGGGCTCGAACCCAGGACCTACTGGCTTCGCGCGCGAGCACTTAACCATTAGACCACTGAGCCGGCATCCAACGGTGTTAATGTCTAACTTCAACCAATCCACGAAGTTGCGCTACCGTACACCATTGTCCTCAGTGAGTTCCTATCTCACAACAGACCTGGTTGAACTCCACTAGTAACGACTTCTCACTAGAACTCCAGAAGTGTACGGTAGCGCAACTTCGTGGATTGGTTGAAGTTAGACATTAACACCGTTGGATGCCGGCTCAGTGGTCTAATGGTTAAGTGCTCGCGCGCGAAGCCAGTAGGTCCT